CCCCAAAACCCCAAAACCCCAAAACCCCATGACTAAAAATTTTAGTTATAAGTAAGAGAACAAAATCTACTGAAATATTAAGAGAGTATTATTTATAATTATCATCAGCATATTGAAATCTAAGCAATTTTTTTCATTCATTTTCATTAAAGAACCTAGAATTTTTCAAGTCCATAGTCTAATTATTGAAGAAATCTGCCAAGCTTCTCAAAGCAACAGTCTTATTATGAGCTTTGATCTCCACTTCATTCAATTCTTTCCTGAGTCTGAGTACCTCCTCTTTAAGTACCTTCTTATGCAGCTTTAAAGTCTTTTTCTGATTATTCAATTCTTCAATTGACTTATCTTTTTCTGAATTCCTACTCGAAAGTTCGTTAATCTTTTGCCTCTAGTCTTGCTCCTTATCTAAGTATTCTCTTCTTAGTTCATCTAATTCCCTTTCTTTGTTGCTTAGAAGCTACTTTGTCTTGCTGTTAAGCTACTTCTCTATTCTTAAATAATTTTTCATTATCTCAACATCATTCTAGAGAGTCTTAATGACCTCTTCGTTTTTCTTGATTTTATCTGTAAGGAAAATCTTCACATTCTTTAAAACTTCCATCTAAGCCTCATTATCTTCTCTTTACTTTCCTTGGCCACCTGGATTGTTTGAATTGAAATGACCTGAAATGCCTCCCCCTCCAGATTTGAATTTTTAATCGTACTAAGGCATATGACTCTTGTGTCTTGAATGAGATGCTATAATTTTATGCTCCATAGTCTCAAAGGTGTTCAGAGAAATGTCAATCTTTGTTCTCTCATTGATCTAGACCATGAACTTTATAAATAGAGGTGATCGAACTAGCACATTAAAATACACACAAACCTAACTCATTCTCAGACTCTCTTCCAGTGATAAGTAAACCATAATCTTGGTTACCCAGAAAACCCTAGTCACTCCACGAATACAAATATTATTTTCATTCTACTTTAGCCTCTTCTCCCGATTAGCATTCATTCTATATAGAAATAACTCCTTCAATGAAGTCAAGCATTTGTCCTTTTCACTTTCAAACCACATTCCATCCTGATCATTAAAAGACTCTTGCTGATGTCTCTTTTCCTTGATTGCTAATTTCTCATAAAGCCCTTTGAGCCCAGAGATAACTATATCAATTGAAGTCTCGTCTATCATTTTTAATATTATTAAATTCTTATTTAAAATTGAGAATGGTACTCTAAGCGCTATTATTAATATAAATGAGAAATCCACTTGACATATTATTATATATAATTTTTATAATATATGTTGATACACAAAATCAAAGCGTCCATTCCGATTTGGTTTATCCTTGCAGCTACCTTCTTAGCACTGCTATTCCTCTTGAGAGTAACCTCATAGATGTCTAAACCTTGTATAGATGATCATTAAGGCCAATATCGATGATACCCTTAGTAATCAGATTGTAGTTAAAGAGTAATATAACTTCGAATAATCGTGAGCTCATCATTCTATATAGTTATTAATACACTCGATGGGGATAGATACCAGGGGATTTGAACTATGAGTAAACTAAGACAGTCTAATTCTATGCTTCTGCTGATCCTCAACCCGTAATTCAATCTTTCTAATATTAACAGGCTCCAGGAAGCTAACCAAGCTCACTAAACTTTAAAAAGCAAGATCCACTTGAGTTTAAGATGACTAGAGATTACTCAAATGTTGATTACATCCCTCAGGTACAACTTATTTTTTCTTAATTCCTGATAGTAAGGTACTGTTGCCGTTAATGAACTTTACAAAACTTAATACCAGGGTGATCCCTCCGTAATGTCAAAAAATTCTTACTCTCAATTGAATGTTGGTGGACTCTCCCTCTGGTATTAATTGAAAAATAAGCAAGATTTCTATCAGATCTTCTAAGCTCTTTCAAAAATCAGACAGACTTACGTTGACTCACTTGCATTTAAACTTTATGCTTATCATGGCTACCATTATTACTTTAATGATGAAGACATGGTTATCAATAACTTTCTAAAAGCTTTTGATCCAGCTGTTGCAAAGAAAATCTATAATGATCCAGTTCTTGGTATGAATACTGTTACCAAGTTGTATTACTGGTTCTAAGCCTGTTCATCCACCACAAATGTTGATGCATTGAGAGCATATTACGCTATTATTGCAAACTTTTAAGCTAGAGGAATTGATCTTAGTGGATAAATGGACAAACTTGTTGGCCCTAGATCACCACTGAAAATGATTTACACTTAAATTCTTACCACAGCTAAGATAGCATTCTAGATGTACAATGATATTGATAACGAAGCACTTTTCTAGATTCAATGGTCCTCTATGGGAGTCGTCTCCAATGATGATATCAAATTATCCCCAAGTACTCCTCATGTTAACAGCTTCAAAGATTTGGATCCATCAAATATCGAATCATCTGCTGAATTCTCTTACTATTGCTAATCGATATTAAAAAAGGATGTCACTGCATTAAACCAAACTCAAACTATTTCTCTCTTTTCACTAATACCAACTTACGGAAATCTAATGAATCCAGCTAATATCAAAACTTTCTTGGAGAAGTATGATCAAGGTGAATATGATACTATTTAAAAGATTTTCTAAGTTACTGATGATGCATAAATTGATGCTCTATATCAATATTTTAATTGGATTGTGGGTAAATTCTTGACTCTCTCATATATTGGAGGTGATTATGAAAGTAATACTTTTGCCAGATTAATGCTGAAGACTATGACCAGTAGTTACAATATACTATAGCAATAGGTACCTTTTGAACTTGCTTCAAGATATCTTACTGGTTACATTGAGAAAAATGCTTTGACATGTCTTAGTTTTGCTGCTATTGCTGCACCAACCGATGTGGCTAGATAAACTGCTCTTTGTAAAAACATTAACTTCCAGAGACTTGAAGACGTAAAGTTTTTCTTGAAGCCAACATTCTTCTTGAACCCAGATGATATCACTGCTTTCAAAACTAAAACTACTATGACTGACGATGAGTACAATCTTTTCTATGGACCTGACAAAAATTCATTCTAAACTGCCTACTTGAGTCAGCTTACCAAGATTAGCTCAGATTATAAGTGCAAACTCTCAACTACCAACTGCACTGGAGATGAAATCGCCTAACTATAAATGGGTTCTTCAGGCATCACTCTTTTCGTCACAGATGATTACAAGAACAATCAATACTTTAAAAATCCAAGCAAATCAATATCCTCCTCTTGGCAGATGACTCCAAAGCCAGTTGAATATTATTACTATATCTCAGAAGTCATGAAGGTAGAAGAACCTCTTCCTTCTGGCTCTGTTGCCATTATAGTTAGTAATGTTACTGGTATCACTTCTGAGGATGCTGCCACCACTTTTGTAGTGAATGTGACCAATAACAGAAACATTTCTGACTATTAAGAAAATCTTAAGATCACAAATGTCAAGAATTTCCTGCTGTGCTTAAGATATATGGTTCAGGAATACCTAACAGGAGGTTTATTGACTCAGAAGACTATTGCACAATGGACCTCAGGTTTCACAGAGGATTTCTATAATATAGTCATGGATGGAAACTTTTTCTAAGGAACTGATAAGGACCTAGAGTCTACAATTACCCCTATTTTAAATGAGAACAATAGGGAGGTTACAAATGCTGAGCTAAGAGTCGACACAGGAGCTCTTAAATAAAACAGAATTGCAAGAATCAGATAATTGAATGAAAAACCCTACCTTAACATTAAGAAATCATTGTTTAACGGTACTGGTCCAGTTGATGTCTAAATCAATCCTTGGAATAGCCAAATAATCTTGGATGATGCCACAAATGGTATGCAATTCAAGCCAGAGATTAATGAGGGATCACTAAATGTTTTCGATAATAGAATCTAAAGAAATATGATCTGTGACTACTCAGAGGATTCTAATTACGGATCAGGCGATAATGTAATCTAAGGAAAGAAGTATGTTCAAAATGTATTTGGAAACAGCAAGCTAAAGTACTCTGAGAGCCCTGATAATACTATTGATTTAGGGCCAGCTTTCAATTTACCCATAGTAGCTTCTCTTATAGGAGGAAAGGATGTTAGTGCTGAGAATCTTAGCAAAGTAACACTAGACGGTAACTCATTCTAATCATCTGAATCTGGATCTTAAGACTACTACTACCTTATAGAGCCATTCTCAGGCTTCCTTCTTCAAAAAGAAACATCAATGACAGTTTATCTTAACTTAGACACAGATATCACTTATCCTTTCCCAGATTTAGATAAGATTGGAAAATAACTCATTCCACTATATGATGTCAAGGAAACTCTGAAGATTGATGCTTCCAAGTTCAATGGTGACTTCGGTTTTGTTCAAACTGGAAATCATAGTAGACACGGCATCTTAATTTCTTTCATTGTCCTTTGCTCTGTCTTCTTCCTGCTTGGTTTGGTTTCTACAGTTGTTTTCTGCTGCAAAAAAGACTAGATCAAATAAGGAAGTGTCTTGTAAACCAACCAAGATAGATTGGTAAGCGAGATGACCAATGGCTAGGATAGCGATAAGAAATACAATAAACTTCTTTCTTGAGCAAAGAAGTTTTGGAAATAACAACAATTATATCACAAATTTACTAATTATTAACACTCTTAGCTTTATTGAATTCTGGCATATGGGGTTTTGGGGTTTTGGGG